TTACACATTATAGGGAGATAAATGGGTGAGGATAAAGCAAGGTGAACAAACAAAAGGTCCACTGACCCATACCACAAAGTGCCTACAATTCCACAGGTCTGGTTGGTAAGGTTTCAATATTAGATTAGGGTTTCAATATATATATATATATATATTGATAGATAGATAGATAGAGAGAGAGAGAGAGATTAGAAAATAAGGAAGGCTATGTTGTGTAGTGTAATGTTGGAGTCGACCATTAAGGTAAAACAACTTTTCATAATAACTAATGTAATGACACAAATAAAGAAGGCATCTATTTTTACAAAGCATTAAATATAGAGAGTGATAATTGTGTGTTTGGATGCAAAGAATGTTTTGATGCTCTTTTAGGTCGGGCAATGTAATGGATGGTTTCGTGGACCTATTAACGTTAATTATTAAAAGGGTAAATTTCTTTAATTACCCTCAAGGTTTACATAATTGACTAAGAATTGATTAAATGTACTCTTACTGTTTAAAATAGTCTTTAATATAAAAAGACTATTTTACCCTTTAGATATATTTTTTGTAATCTGCGTAAGAATCATCCCTCTCGATGATCGAACGCTGGCGACAGTTTGATGGAGATTTCCGGCATCAATCCTCTCGGTCGTTGGAAGCATACCTGCCGGTGATACCCCATCTCTCTCTCTCTCTCTTTCCATGCCATAACCCCATCGGCAACCACTTGCCGACAATGCCCCATCTCTCTTCTCCATTTTCATTTTCATTTTTTGTTCCCTTCTCTTCATTCAAGAGATTTACTATTCTCATGCTCCATGACTCCGATTCCAATGTTCCAATGATCAAGGCCCTGAACAGCTCGAACCCATCAAACCTCTACCTTCAATTTTCGTGAGCATCAGCTGAAAAATTTTGAGGGGGGGAAGTTTCATGTCAAGAAAAACATCAATCGGCTCAGTGAAGAGGAAGTGGAGAGAACCCTCACAGGTGGATGCTGTGACTAAGGGTTTTTGAGGGATTTGAGTCGAGGGTCAAGCCCAATAAAGGGAGCTCATAGAACTAGAGAGGTGAAGCATTAATCGATCGTAAGTCATGTACTGCCAAAGAGAAGCTATGCAGTCTCTCCTCTCTAGCAGAACAGGACGCCGTGCTGGGATAAGCAAGCGGTGACAACTAGGTTCATCTTCAGTGATTGATAGCTCTTCTCTAGTAGAACGAAAGGGATGTCATGCTGGGGTAAGCAAATGGTGACAACTAGGTTCATCTTCAAGGATTGACAGGTGGGTCAAAATGGCTGAATCTGGGACAAGGTGGTGGGCCAACAATTGTCAAATTTACACATAAGCAATATTGAATATTTTGCAATCCATGGGGCAATCAGTGGCTATATAGCATCCGACCTTTGTAGTTTCGATGGTTCCGGAGAAGAAGAGAACAAGAGGAAAAAGGAAGAGGAGAAAGGTCATAACTGTGATTCCCCTATAGCATTCGATCTCTGCAGTTCATAGTTCTTGAGAAGAGAATGAGAGCAAAAGGGAGAAATCTACAGTGAAAGAGGGGAAGGTCGGAGGTGGAGGGTAAAATGAAAGGGGGAGAGGTCAGAGGTGAAGGGTAAAATTGGGATTTAAAAAAATTATGTGTTTATGAGTTTTAATAGAATATTAACAGAACCTAACAGTAAGGGTAGAGTTAGTTAATTGTTAGAAATAGTAGGGGTAGTGTTAGTCAAATTTCAAATAGTAAGGGTACATTTTGACAATTAACTAAACCATAAGGGTAGTTTAAGAAATTTACCCCTATTAAAAATCTTGATTACATTGGTAAGTGCGCTCATACTCTGTACGTGGCAAATTTTTACGATAATGGTGATGGTAAATAATATATTTCCAACATCTTCTACATTTTTTTATATTTATATGTCTATAAAAATTATTCTTATTTGTCACACTTATTTTTGTTTAATATGATGAATATACAATATTAGAGATGTGCCTAAATATTTTCTACAAAATTTGTTGTAATCTTCTACATTTTTTTTATATTTATATGTCTATAAAAATTATTCTTATTTGTCACACCTATTTTTGTTTAATATGATGAATATACACTATTAGAGACGTACCTAAATGTTTTCTACAAATTTTGTTAAACTTTGTACCCTTACTATTAGGGAGAGACCAAATTCATAAATATGAGTATTCTAGTCAAGAATAAGATTCAATGAATATTTATGTGAATACCTAATGTGGAGAATTTGAAGAAGGAAAAAAGTGGTTTAGATTACATATCCCACCTTACAATTAGAGAGAGACCAAATTTAAAAATTGGAATAGTTTAATAAAAAAATAGTTATACTATCACTCATACTTTTAATAATAACTAGAAAGTGTGCACACATGGTAATTCTAGATGATGATAATAATAGTAATAATGTATCCAAAATTTTCTATGAACTTTGTTATATTTTTTGTATTTTTATTATTAATCGGATGAGGATTTCAAATCTAAATTTAATTACATAAACACCTCATCCACACATGTGATAATTGGATCGAGTCGTAAAATTTCAAATATCATTGATAGGCCACTTGCTTGGCTAGATTCTTCTTTTAGTAATATTTAATCTTTTCAGTTTATTTTTCTTTCGTCCATTTATCAAAAAAATGTAAGATTTAAATAGGGTAAAAAGTACTAGTTTAATTTATAATTTAAACATCATAATTAAATAGGGACTAAATTCAAAAATGAGTATTGATGAGGGATGATTTGGCTCGACTTTCTAAATAGCGAACACGTGGATGCGACCTATTGATTGGACATCGACTTAGTATTTCCTATCACCTTAAAAGGTCAAGCCACCTCGGCCAGGACCAAGATCCAAGTAGCTCGGGATAGTCAAACCTACCGAGGTGACACGTAGCAGACTTCTAGAAGCATGCCAGCTGTCTCTACGCTCTTGGGGATCACGCCGCATGACTATGGGTCTTATCCTCATCCTGCTCGGATCGAACAAACATGATAAGCCTTATCGACTAGCACAATATCCACCTCCCGGTGCGGAACAGACTCCTAACAGTGCGGGCTGAGGATCTCATAAGTGTTTAGTGAGACCCACGACAACTCACCTATACAAGGGCACCTACCTTGGTGGTACAAGGTATGTGCGGTTTAGTGCATTATAGCTTTCTTACTCTCAAGTTTTCAGCTACACAACCAGATACTAATTTAAGCATAAGAGTAACCACGCTGAGTGAGCTACCCCAGGTTCTCTGAACTTTCATGTTTTGCAATTCAATTGGCCAACTAAGCAATCGACGTCTAAGTTGCCATCTAGCTAGGAACAACCAGATCGCGCACCATCAAGTTTTCTTACTTTCATGTTTTTCTACATTTTTTTGTAAGTTTCTATGTTTATTTATATTTAAAAATTTTATTACCTAACTATAATTTCGTAGGTTGATCAATTTGATTTGGATGATTGAATTGCTTAGCCACCACTTAGATTAAAAATAGTTTTGTTTTTAAGTTAGTTTTAAAATATATAGATTTATATTATTGAAAATATTGACACAAATCTAATTTAATAATAAAATGGGAATTAATAATTTAAGTATAAGACTTAAATGAGAAGGGATTAAATGGGGTAAGAAATAATAATTAAAGTTATATTTTCAACCTTATCATTAGAAAATGACTAAATACACAATTATAGGTATTTTAATAGCCATTAGAACTGTAATAAATTAACTTTTATACCTTTTATAAAAAAAAGGTAATTTTAATAAAAAAAATTTCACAATCAATTTACACTTTTATATTCAATATAGATATAGATTAGATTTCATATCGTATATATCTAAAAATTGCAATTATGGTGGTCATATTTTTGCCCGAGGGCAAAATCTTTTGATAACGTCTGTTAGTGGTGCAATTCTACTCCCGAATGTATTAAACAGGTTCATCTTTTATTTTCTTCAGTTCATTGCTGCAAAATAGATCGAAATTTGACTAGATTAGATACGTATGTCATTAACTAGATTGGCTACGTATCAGAGGCTCTGTAACCATGCAATTATGTTATAAGGTAAAGGATAAACTGGTCTTTTTCTCCGTTCTGTTCCTTGTGATGTGATTGTGGTTTCGCGCGCGAGAAATCCCAATTGCACACTGGACGCCGTAAATAAAGATTTTTATTTTTGTTTTAGTTTTTTTACATATTTATTTCTCTCTCAGAAATTCTGACGTATATTGACCGTTTTATTTATCAAGGACTGATGTAGTGTGAAATTGTATAGTATAAGGCGGTATTTATTGCTTAACCGACTGGAGGGTTGCAGGCAGGTGCCATGTTTGTCTAATAAGATTTAGTCGGATTACAATCTGACGGTTGAGATTTCGAGTTCAGGTTACAAAACCATGAGCAAAAGAAGTATGCAACACATCCTTAATACACTAGTAAATGGTCGAGCTCCTCGAAAAACGATTAGAAAACAACCTGTCTATCTCTTTCGGGTAGCTAGAAAATATTGCGAAACTGTACGGGCGCTACTGTAGTAGGTTGGCGAGAGTGAAGCCGGTGAAAGGACGGCGCAATTGCCGGGATTCCGTAACCTTTTTCCGGCAAACGGCGAGATATGTCAGTTACTTTGTTTGTCTGAGCAAAAGAAGGGTAGAGAGAGAGGGGGGGGGGGGCAGGGAGGGAGTAACACGGCCATTGACTAACGAGCGCTATGTGGTTATGTGCAGACGTTTGTAACTTGTAAGTCAGCTTCGGATCTATTTTTTTGCTATTTAATATAATGCTGTTTACTTCTGTTTTTATAATTCTCATTTTGGTACAGATCCCCACGTCTGTCAAGGAGGAAAGATGAGGGAAGGAGAAGGATCAAAGGTCCACGGATTTATCTCTCTCGGAATTTTTTTACATAGAGTGGATATAATAAAAATATAAAAGAAAAGGGTTATTCTTACACTCTTACTTGCAGTGAAAAAGGGACTCGTTTTTTTCACCATCACTGGAGAAAGAAAGTTGTTACTCAAGAGGGAGAGAGAGAGAGAGAGAGAGTCAACCGACCCATTTCTTTGCCTTGGCTTTTATGTATTTGTAAGGCTTCGAAGAGTCCACATAGGCGTTTATCTATTTTGTTTCTCTCTGTGCCATCTTTAGGCCTTTCATTTTCTCTCTCCATCTCTCCGACTCATTTTTAATTTCTAGTCGTCAGTCATGGAAGCTTAGATAGTCAAGCATGCAGAAGAGGAAAATATAGGAAAGCAGCAAGCTAGGGTTTTCTTTGTTCGCCTGATATTTTAACGGTTAATTTATTTTATGGTTGGTTCTACAGACCGATAGGGTAAAGGGGGAGAGCGGGAGACGGGGAGAGAACGAAGTGTTAAGCAGCAATAAGGTCTCTTTGCTAACCTTCTTTCTCTTTCTTTCTCTCTGGAGCAACCTTTCTGCAGAGCCTACCCTTTTGTCTTCTCTCTCTCTCTCTTGTTGGTTTACTTTGAGCTTCTTCTTTCTTTCTTTCTTTCTTTCTTTCTTCTTCTTCTTCTTCTTCTTCTTCTTCTTCTTCTTCTTCTTCTTCTATCTGTTAACATATCTTCCTAGGGAGTCTTCCCGGGCTACCTACCTCGTTAATTTCCATTTTGTTTTGGCTTTGCCCTTTTGTCTTGGGCGTGGTTTGGTGAGTTAATGAATTGAAGCATGTTTTCCGGGCGGGAAGAGTCATTTATCGGGGACGGTGGTGAATCGACGAATGTGGTTGCCGTTTCAGCCTAGAACCTAGTGCCTTCATTAGACCCTAATAACTAAATAAAAGAGGAGACTTTGAGGGGGAACTAGAAGACAAGGTAAGATAGGAACGGAGGCATATTTTCATGAGTTTTGGGGGTTTTCTTGATAGTAGTTCTGGTGGTGGTGCAAGAGTCGTGGCCGATATACCTTACAGCAACATGCCTGCTGGTGCGATCGCTCAGCCACGCCTCGTCGCTCCGTCTCTGGCTAAGTCTATGTTCAGTTCTCCGGGCCTCTCTCTCGCTCTTGTACGAATCCTATATTCGCCTTTCACACATACATATATATATTTATATATCTTCTCGATTCTTTATGCGATATATCTTGGGCCTTAGTTTAATTTCTGTGTATCTCATTTGCTTTGTTTTGTACGTCGGAACTAATCTCCTAATTCATTACCGAAATTACGAGCAGCAAACTGGCATGGAAGGACAGGGCGAGGCAGGTCAGATTGGGGAAAAATTGGATTCTACCGTAGTGGGGAGGAACAGGGAAGACGAATATGAGAGCAGATCTGGAAGCGATAACATGGAGGGCGCTTCCGGTGATGATCAGGACGGGGACAATCCACCAAGGAAGAAGAGATACCATCGACACACCCCACAGCAAATCCAAGAGCTCGAGGCGTAAGATTTGCTTCGTTTATGCAATATCCATTTCTGTTGCTTCCCTTAATCTCGAAAATTTCGCGACTGAACTTTTCTTTCGTCTGTTGTTTGCTACTTTTAGTCTTTTCAAGGAGTGTCCGCATCCAGATGAGAAACAAAGGATGGAACTCAGCAAGAGACTTTGTTTGGAAAGTAGGCAGGTCAAGTTCTGGTTTCAGAATCGACGGACACAGATGAAGGCAAGCTTTCACTTCTCTCTCTCTCATCACTTTTCCCTGTTCTTCACTGGAGTTGAGTTATTGAGTATTGATATCGAGACTCTTTAATATGTTTGCTTAAACCAGACCCAACTGGAGCGCCATGAAAACACAATACTTCGACAAGAGAACGATAAGCTTCGAGCTGAGAACATGTCAATTAGGGAAGCGATGAGGAACCCTATATGCAGCAACTGCGGTGGCCCGGCAATGCTTGGTGACATATCTTTAGAAGAACAGCATCTTAGGATTGAGAATGCCCGGTTGAAGGATGAGCTTGATCGGGTGTGCGCCCTTGCCGGAAAGTTCTTAGGCAGGCCGGTATCATCCTTGGCTACTCCCATGCCAAGTTCCAGTTTGGAACTCGCCGTCGGCAGCAATGGTTTTGGTGGCATGAACCCTGTTGCCACAACATTGCCTCTGGTGAGCGATTTTGTAGGGGGAGTTTCTAATACGTTGCCTGTTGTGCCTCAAACCCGGCCAACACCTGGTGTGACGATTCTTGATAGGTCACTGGAGAGATCCATGTTTCTGGACCTTGCATTGGCTGCCATGGATGAGTTGGTTAAGATGGCTCAAAGCGATAAATCTCTTTGGCTCCCAGGTCTGGAAGGAGGGAAGGAAACACTGAACCAGGAGGAGTACATGCAGACTTTCCCTCCCTGTATCGGAATGAAACCTTCTGGTTTTGTGACCGAGGCCACAAGAGAGACTGGTATGGTGATCATCAACAGCTTGGCTCTTGTTGAGACGCTAATGGATGCGGTAATCTTCCAAACTTTCTCTCTCCATTGTTTCTGATGGAATTATCCATATCTGGGTCATTTCTTTCATTATCTTTTAGAAATTAAAATTAGAGCACTGTCTGGATAGCAGGTTCTAAATATTTGTTGTTGGTCGTTGTGTTTTTATTATTTCTCCTGGAATAGAACCGATGGGCAGAAATGTTTCCATGTATGATCGCGAGAACCTCCACCACCGAAGTATTATCAAGTGGGATGGGCGGAACGAGAAATTGTGCACTTCAGTTGGTAAGTCATCTGTGGGTTTTCCGGTCTATACTTTGTCCTTGCACCAATTAATCTCATTTGAATGAATCAGAGCAATCTGCATTTGTGACTGCAGATGCATGCGGAGCTCCAAGTTCTATCGCCGCTTGTCCCAATTCGCGAGGTCAAATTTCTTAGGTTCTGCAAGCAGCATGCCGAGGGGGTGTGGGCTGTGGTGGACGTGTCCATCGACCACATCCTTCGAGAAACTTCAAACGAGCCCACTTTTGCGAGCTGCAGGAGGCTTCCATCCGGCTGTGTTGTGCAGGATATGCCCAATGGGTACTCCAAGGTGATTAAAAGTCCTGACTGAACTTTTCTCTAGCCCCTCCTCAGCTCTGATCTCTCCACTCTCGTTCTCCACAAATATATTATTACTCTATTGCAGAAGCTGAGCTTTTTAATTTAATAAACTTACCCAAGTGGGCATTTCTCCTCCTTTAAGCCTTTAATGAGGTCCCTGATCTAACTCCCACTTCGGGTCTTAGTTGATGAGCACATTTAATTCATCTACATGAGGTATTGAGGTGAGTGAGGTAAAAGAGAATCCATGAGCCTTCTCACTCCCCGTGTTTCTTCGGCTCATGCTTCTAAGAATTTTGTTGGGTCTATTGTATTGCTCGCTTCACTCTTGTCAATCCGAAGTCCTTAATTTTTTTTTCCGAAGAATCTGGACCTTCCCGCTGTTCCAACTTTTTTTTAGTCATCTAAATGCTGCATCTTCCGAGATAATAATCCAATAAGTTTCAAACTTCCACACCAAGGTTCATCACTCATCAGTGCAGTACTGTCTTTTTCCCCAAATTAATTTGTTACTTGCTTCGTACACCATCAAATCGAGGTTTCTCACATTTTTATATTAATCGAAGCCTCTACTACTCCTGTTTCTGCACCTCGAACACATTAATTTCATAGCCTTTATATCTAGGTAAAGCCTTGTAATCTTCAACTTGGTTAATTAAATATATATTTGATGTTTCTATTCCGATCTTCGATTCTCTCTGTCTCTTCTTAACCCTCCTCGATCCTCTCCTCATTATTTTTATGATTAAATTAAATCGTCACAGATACCATGCCATGAGACCATGAGACTGAGCATGATCTGGTTCCAGCCCATGTATATATTGTATTGTTTTCTTACTGCCGGGAGACCTTCAGTCAAGCTTCAAGACCCAGTCCATCCTGTATTTATGCCTATTATTATTATTATTATTATTAGTTTAATTTTTCCAATTATCTGATTATCATAATCAAACTGTTCAAATCTCGATATCTTACTGCCTTACTCCTAGAACCATCCACATCATCGCTCGCCCAGTCGCCCGTTCCCAAGGGATACTTTATTTTGTTTTCTAATATTTATATACGTGTGTTAAAATTTAAATAGCTCCTCCTGATTTTTATTGTTGAGATTTGAGACTTGTTTGGTGCAATGATAATTGATCGACTCTGATACTTGTCTAGATTACGTGATCATCTATACACAATTAGAAATCCATGTCTAAAAAAGAAAAAAGTCGTCTTTGTCTCTCAGTCCTCCCTTTCTGGCTTTTTGTTTTGTTCGTTGAGACGTTTCAATGAAAATCGGTTCTGAGCAAAGTGTACAACGCAACGTTGACCATCCCATTTCTTTTCCTTGTTAGATGGGAGTTTCGTATTTTACTGGGATTGCCCTGTGGCATGAAAAGTTTTTTCTTTTTCAGTTTTTCTTTTATATGATTCTAGTCGAGTTCGCGTAATGCTGGAAATGGTGGTGCACCCATATTGGTTGCATGTCAGTGCGGATGGTTAACCTGCTGAGCTTAACGCAGGTGATTTGGGTCGAACATGCGGAGTACGACGAGAGTGCAATTCACCAGCTTTACCGCCCCTTGCTGAGAGCAGGTATGGGCTTTGGCGCCCAGAGGTGGGTGGCCACCCTACAGAGGCAGTGCGAGTGCTTGGCTATTCTGATGTCTTCTACCGTCCCGGCTAGGGATCATACCGGTACGTATTTTATGCTTTGATCAACAACTGGTTGATCCCGATTTGAGGCTGGTCTGATGATATTGTCAATGCATGTTGTGGTGCAGCCATAACTCCCAGCGGTCGGAGAAGTATGCTGAAGTTAGCACAGCGGATGACGGATAATTTCTGTGCTGGTGTGTGTGCGTCGGCCGTTCACAAGTGGAATAAGCTGTGTACAGGGAACGTGGACGAGGACGTGAGGGTGATGACCAGGAAGAGCGTGGACGACCCGGGCGAGCCACCAGGCGTGGTTCTGAGTGCGGCGACGTCGGTGTGGCTGCCGGTATCGCCCCAGCGGCTGTTTGATTTCCTGAGGGATGAACGTCTGAGGAGCGAGTGGGACATACTATCTAATGGAGGGCCCATGCAGGAGATGGCCCACATCGCCAAAGGACAGGATCCTGGAAATTGCGTCTCCCTTCTTCGTGCCAGCGTAAGTATTTTTCATTCATATATATTTTATGTATTTGGTCTATTAAAATTGAACGCCCGCATTTGTTATCTCTCCACGGCCAACAGTTTCCGGCCGGCAGTGATGTGTATATCTTTCTGCCATGTCCCTTTATCCAGAGCCAGAGGTAAGGGTAGTTTTCTTGTCCTTGGTGGGTCCACTTGCGTGTGTGAATTTTAGAAAGTTGGGGCATGGATTTATCTACACAAACACAACGCAGTGGCGTGGCATGGACCCGGTTTTTCTTTCTTTTTAACCCTTCTATCTGTCATCGCCTGAAAAGTCAAAGTAAAGGGGGACGCCTGTCACCTATCTGATTTATTTCTCACGTCAGATGGATGAAAGTTCCCTTCTTCTCTCTCTTCTGCCCGGTGCAACTCTGACTTTGTTTTTCTTCGCTGTAACGAAACCGACTGATTTCTCCGTATAAATGCTTCCCTGGAAAGGTCAGGTCCTCACCTGAAAATTAATTACATTATTGAAAGCTGAAAGCAGAAGCTGAGGGGATTTACTTAAGCTGTAATTAGTTAATTAATTCGATTTATCAATGTTTTTTATATATATTTCGAACTGTTGCAGGCGATGAACGCCAATCAGAGCAACATGCTGATACTGCAGGAGACGTGCTTCGACGCATCGGGGTCCCTGGTGGTGTACGCCCCGGTTGACATTCCGGCCATGCATGTAGTGATGAACGGTGGCGATTCCGCATACGTTGCTCTGCTACCGTCGGGATTTTCCATCGTACCAGATGGTCCGGGATCACGTGGTCCCACCAGCAACCACCACCACGGCCCCCTCGCGAATGGCAACGGAAGCTCGCAGCAGAGGGTGGGTGGGTCACTGTTGACGGTGGCGTTCCAGATCCTGGTGAATAATCTGCCTACAGCGAAGCTCACAGTGGAGTCGGTTGACACAGTGAACAATCTCATCTCCTGCACCGTACAAAAGATTAAAGCCGCTTTGCACTGCGAAAGCTGAGGAGGAGAGCCAAAGGGCAATCTTCGTCCCGTTCACACTACCAATTGCGGGAGGACTCTCTCTCTCTATATATATTAATCATATAGAGGTAGTTAGTGTAGGTAGAAAGGGAAAGAGAAAGGGGTGAGGCACTGAGTTGAATGAATGACAATGACCCCTTTTTCAATCTTTCTTCAATCAAATTAAAGAGAAGCATAAAGTGTGTTTGAGGGGGGGGGGGGGGTGTCACTCACTCTCCTTGGGACAATGCTCACAACGGGGGTTTGAGTCAAGAACGAACCGCGCGCTGAGAATCCTTGCTGGGTGGTGAGACCGTGGGAACACAAGCAAGGCCAGGGCCAGGCCAAGTACGTGACTGTGTTTTTCCATCTCTCTCTCTCTTTCTCTCTGAAAATTGTGTCTCGTAGCGTCCATGTTCTTAACACAACGCAAGGGTGGTGGTTCGGGTATTGACTCGTAGACCCGCGAGGAGGGTGTCTCGAGAAGAAATTTAATGTGAAAAAGAAAAGTAGACGTGTCTGTCTGGTGTTGTTTTGTCTCATTTTATTAATTTATTTTTCTTGAATTAGTGGTTGGGAGTCCTTAGAGATGGACGGATAGTGCTGGGTAATCGGCAGCATTTTGTTTTAATCTAATTAAAACTTGTTTTGTTTTGTTTCGGAATTAATGGAAATGTGTGTAAGTGTCGGGCTGTCTATTGTTGTTAATTTCACTTCCATTTACATGTAGAAAAATTGTACGTCTGTCTTTCTTTGCTGTCGCTAGATCTCAAGGTGGTTGAAATCTTTGCTTTGCAGTAGGTGGTAAAAATGGTTGAGGGTTGAGAGTTGAGAGTGGAGTTGGGCGGTTGGCGGGAGAGGCGACTGTGTCTGGGCGGGTGGTGGCCTGGGCCCCGGGGAAGAGGGTAGTGTGTGTGGTGATATGATGAGTAGCGCTGGGGGCTGGGCCTATTTGCATTAAATGCGATCGTCTATTGCGCCCGTGGAGCAGTATATCTCATTAAATTTTCATTGTCATGATCTGCGTGTACTAGTACTACTACTACCCAATAAAATAACGCTGCGTGTCGTGTAAACTGTAAACCCCCCCCCCCCCCCCCWTTGTAATATTGCACCGCTGGGCAGTTGGCATCCAGACGAGGCAAATAAATCTCCATTCAAATTTATCAGATTGTGAGATAAGGTGCTGTTTGGCATGGGCATGCGATATATGTCTGTACATGGGGGACGGTGGTGGATGGATCATGGATGTTATAATGTTACTAGACCTATCTGGTTGACTTCAAACTTCCATGCCTAGTTTGTGTGCCAGGTGGTGACATTGTTACTTGCCGACCCAACCAGAGCGGTGGAGCCTCGAACCAAATCCATGGTTTCAGTGGCGGTTATCCTCTAACTAACTATTTAATTATTTAGGAAAGAGAAAGACTTGACTGGACTTGGGCCTTAGAAGTCGGAAAGATAACTCGAAGACGCCCACGTGGATATATGAACGGTTGTTATTAACCCAGCGGCTTCTGCCGACAATAAATTACTGTACAGAGCGAACGTTCAAGAGTAGCGCCGGGCTAAAACCATGAAACCACGGCCTTTATTAATGCATTACTATAACCCACCCCATTCCACGTCATTTCATCTCATTTCTTTGTCTTAAATGATTCTAACTTTTACGTTTTTAATATTTGAATAATCCAATGAAAATATGACACATGGATATGTCATAAACTCTAATCCATGAAATTTGGGTGCAGTCTATTACCTAAAAGAAAAAGGATTCAGTCCCCCTTGACAGTTGTGTATTGGAAATATTTTCTTATGAATAAAAATATATAAGTATGGAGATAAACGGTGCGAAGACGCTTTTAGGAGGACTAAATCCAAATTCTTAATCCATTGTGCTTGCTCTCTCTATAAATTCAGCACCTCTATTTTGAGAAAATTTCATCATAACAGGAGGAAATACGACAAAAAATCAACGATCAAAATATCAATAAGCCTGATACCATCAATGGTGTGTATTTATATGATTGATGTATTCTCTTATATTATCAGCTTTCTATAGAGATGTAAACCATCGTCCAAAAGTTTTAAAGACCTGTATGAATTGATGTTTTTGATCTCTATCCAAAAACGTGGTAAATTAAGGTAATTGGAAAAATGAGAGGGAAAAGTTGTAAGTGTAATTATAAAAGGGAGAAAAATCCAAAAAGACCGTAATTTGTTCGGTAGAAAAAGGGACGGATAATTAAGAAGGCATTTTTGGCTTTTTATGACAGAAGTGGATTTTGGTAATAAATCATTGAAGCTCTCTTATTAAAGACTTGTGCCAGGTTGGTCTGACAGCTAAGGAAGAGTTCACTTCATCTTTTATCAAACAAAAAAGAAGGTAAATTACTTATACCACCTTATGATTTTGGTGAAATACAAACACGCCATCTGGTTTACTTCTTCTTCTTTTTAAGACTCACATGTTATTTATTCCATCCCTCCGTTAAATGATGCCAATTACTCTAAATTTCTAATATTGTGAAAGCATTTATTAAAGAAATTCATTGTGTAAATCAGGCAAAGAGAAAAAGAACAAAAGCAACTCTTTTTCATCCCTTGTGTAAATGAACTTTTGTTCAAAGCAGGATGATTGAATTTCAAATATATATATATATATATATATATATATATGACCATTCAAAAAGTTTTACCTCTACAACATGTTTTTCTTTTAATAATTTGGAATTACCAAAGTTCTGTCCTAAAAGTAAAAAACACAAGTAATATACAAAAAAAGATGTATGATAATTTTCTTTTCTAATAAAAAAGGAGAAAATTTGTCCCAAAATCAAAACGGGTTTGTCTTGCTCCATGCATGAAAATCTGTACCTCACTATCTTTTCATTTTAAAGAGTTGTAGCTTCCTATGTTCAGTTCAGGCCAAAGTGACCTCTCTTTGTAGCATTAAAATGAACTTCAGAGGGAATACTACTAATACTATAACCATTGGTTAACTAAAGAAATATACATGTTTCATGCTTCAAAAAATCAAATGGACCTAGGAGATGATGAGGGCTGATTTGGCCCTCTAGTGACAATGCATTATGTGGCGATCTCAAAATCTTTGCATGACACCTGTCACCATGTAGGCGATGATTTATCTTAGACAAATAATGGAGACCTATTCAGAATCATGTCAGATGTGCTTTACACGCCCCGAGGGCACTTCGCCATCACCTCGCCATGGCCAACCTGTAGACACCTCATCAAGATCGGGACGACCACCTTAGGACCGAGCTTGAGACCTCAGTATGAAGGGAGACCTCTCGCCAAGGTCTCACCGACCAGACTAAGGTCTAGGTAGCAACCTACATGACGCGGTGGTCAACCTGCCTACCTCTGCCAACCTGACAGAGACCCAGGTGGCGACCTACCTCCACTGACCTGATGGCATAAGATCTCGACAGGAATAGGACAGCGAAAGAGGTGACCTACCTTTGTTGACCTAACGGTGTAAGATCTTGTCAGGACTAGGTTGGTAGAGGAGGCAACCTACCTCCGCTGATCTAATGAAGACTTAGTTGGCAACCTAGTCACGACCGAGCTAGGGACCTTGGCATTAGGGGCGACCTCCCCCGATACTTTATTGACCTAACTTGGATCCAGTTGGCGACCTGCCTGACACGCTGGGCAACCTACTCCTTAAGCAGGCTATCATCTCTGATTCCCCAAAATCATGACGCCACGTCGGAAGAACTGGTTATCACTTCGCTCGCTTTAGGTGCAATTGGATAAGTACTACCCACTTACGTGGAGTCTACCTCCAAGCGTGAAACCACCTCTGAACAAGGCGGGTTGGAGATCTTGGATATGCTTCGTGAGCCTCATGACAATTTGCCTATATAAAGGGTCCCCTTCCTCATAATAAATATGCACAATTTAGCATTCACAACTCTCACGCTTTTTAACTCTCTTAAAACTCTTCACTAATTTAAGTATTGGAATGCGCATACCAAAAAAGCATAAATGAAGTAAAAATGCAAATATGATAAACTTTGGGCTTTTAATGAGTTGGGTTGGTGGGTGGGAAGCCGGTGGATTTCTTTCCACTTCAAATACAGAAAGATAAGATAGATAACTGGGTGGTCGAAACGGAAACCCTTCTATGTGCATAGACTAGCTAGGGTTCTATTTTCTATAGTCCCCATGGCCCCTCTCAGTCTCAGCTCCCTCTGTAAGTGGGAAGACTAACCTTTCTCTTCGGTTGGCATATTATCTGAACCTGAGGCCTGAACAACAGAAACAAGAGAATAGCGCCTAGATTTGATCATCTAGTTGCTCAGCTTCCTTCAACCAAAAACCCTGCATTGATGAGTTAAGCACACGTGATTGAGGTACTCTAACCAAGATAAAGTTGGTTTCAGCAAAAGCCAAGGCAAGATGGTGATAGAAAGACTTGACTGATTTTAATGGAGATTTGAAGTTATCACCAAGCTTTTTTGATTCTGCAAGGCTTGAGGGAAAATCAGGGAGGATTATCAACATGACATGCGATGATGTTGATGTTTTCTTTCTAATTGTTGGTTAAGCAAGTTGACGATGATTTTTGAAAAATATCATCTCGATACATCCCATCCTCCCCCTCTCTCATGTATTGTGCTTACGGCAAAAGTGAAATAAAAATCTAGAAGGAAATCTAATTGAAGGATACTCGCTATTGCATCACCATGTCGTAAGTCGTAATTAACCATGGCCTAGTGCCATTGTTTGTAGCATTAATCACTAAAATGATTAGTTCTTTGATTTTTTTCTTTGATTAAAGTAAATTATTAAACTAATTATAATCATAGTTGATTAAGGTAGTGTTTGAGAACACTTTTAATAATTATTTCTTTTAAGAAGTACTTTTAAGACATGGGATCATACATTAAGTGATTTTTAAGTACTTATGCGTGTTTGGTAAAAAAGTGGGGAAAAGAAGTACTTCTTTGAAAAAGTGACTTCAAATTGGCTTTTCTTTAAGTACTTATTGAAAAAATACTCCAAAATAATAGGACGAACCAGTCCCTGACAAATTTGTATAATAACTAAAATACCCCCGCGAGGTCATACCTCCCCCTTCTCCACTCATTCGACCCCCATACCCTAACAGCAGCGGCGCACCAGTTGCAGGTCCAACGGCAACGATCGGCGGTGAGAAACTGTGACCGGCGGACCTGCCGTTTGGCCTCTTTCCTCTATGTTTTGAAAAGTTTCTTTCATTTAATCGTTCTTTTTTTGTTTTTCTCTAACGTGAACTCTATTCTTTGTAGATCTACTCTTCGAACAACGACCAGCGACAATAGGTTAATTCTCTATACATAGATCTAATATCGTGAAATCTATTGTTGGTTGCGTGAAGTCTGAAATCCGAAACAGAGCTCGATTTCAGATCTCTGAAACAGAGCTCGTTCTCAGATCTATATATTTTTTATATTCGTGATATGGATTGACTGATATGTAGTGCAAATATTTTGCTTGATCTCAGATCTCTGAAACTTCTTTTGGGGTGCATGGGTTTTCTGATTTCATCAGATGAAATGAACTTGTCAAACCTTTATGGTAAAGGATTTATTTTACCTTGTTTAATGATCAAAATACTGCAATATCTAGACGGTTGGATAGATTTTTGGTGTTACTTGAATGTGAAACCTGTTTCCAGACGTCACACAGAAGTTTAA